TTTATCTTCTTCTACCTCTCCTTAGTTCACCAATTATTTTAAAGTTATTAATTAAAGTACGGGGGTTTCATCACGTTCAACTTCAAATTTCATCGTCTCAAAACTTCAATTACTTTGGAATTTTGAGAAATTTTTCACTTCACAAAAATACGGCGTTCCTTGATTTTAGGGTTTCAAAACCATAATCTATGAAAAATTTCTTCTTCCTAAAGCGTAAGAAGAGTAGACTTCTAAACTTAGGAGAGAAATAGTCTGTGTATTGTCCAGGTTTCAAACTTCTTCATTTTTGATGAAATATACTCTTTCAATTTACTTCATTCACGGATTTAGATTCATTTTAAAGATAGGCTTCCCTTGATTTTCGAGGAAATCAGATCTGTCCCCTTCCGTCCATCTGAATCTCTTCTCATTTTCTGCCTATTCTCAGAATCGCTCGTCACCAATTTAGCGTCAGCTTCTACTTATCATTTTTTTCCCTGCTGCAGCATAAGACATGCACAACCTCCGTGTTCATCCATCATGCAAGGCAACACATGCACCTTCATTACCTGGAAAAAGCCCGATAAACCATGCTATATGGGTTTTGGGTGATAAATTATTGGGTTGATGTTCAAGAGATCGTCTAGCGACCAATCAAATGAATGGCATTGTCCTCATAGGTCAATGGGCTATTTACTGCCATACGTGGCCTATCGAATAGCGCTGCAATTTCCCTTGCGAGCGTATTGGCTCCATTAAGGACAACACGTGCTGTATGGGTTCGATAGCTATTTGTTCCGAATGCCAAATATAAACGGCTCATAGTACGCAAGTACAAAAATTGCCAAGGTGTGTTGCACTCTGTGGATGTGGCGCAGTTTCGGACTTGGGTCCGCCCTGTATTGAAACTGCATGCTTCGGGGGTTGGCAGCCGAAGCAGAGCAGCTGTCCGATCGTCCGTTTCTTCACCGACAATCGAGAACCGACATCCCACCGATGTAATCATCATGTGCTCTGCCTATACTCACACAATGTCCGCT